GGGGTCCGGTCCCCGGACAACAGGCCCGGAGACGCCAGGGCGGAGCCGCGGGGGGCCGAAGATGCCTCGGAGTGTTGCGGTAACCTGTGCCTTTGTTCCCCCACCCAGGTGAAAATCTGGTTTCAGAACAAAAGATCCAAGATCAAGAAGATCATGAAAAACGGGGAGATGCCCCCGGAGCACAGCCCCAGCTCTAGCGACCCCATGGCGTGTAACTCGCCGCAATCTCCGGCGGTGTGGGAGCCTCAGGGCTCGTCGCGCTCGCTCAGCCACCACCCTCATGCCCACCCTCCGACCTCCAACCAGTCCCCCGCGTCCAGCTACCTGGAGAACTCGGCTTCCTGGTACCCGAGCGCCGCCAGCTCGATCAATTCCCACCTGCCGCCGCCTGGCTCCTTACAGCACCCGCTGGCGCTGGCCTCCGGGACACTCTATTAGACCAGCCGCTTTCTCTCGCCATCTTTTTGGGGACTACTGTGTTTTGCTGTTTTAGAAAATCATAAAGAAAGGAATTCATATGGGGAAGTTTGGAAACCGGAAACAAAAAAAAAGATTCATGTGTAAAGCTTTTTTTTTTTTTTGCATGTAAGTTATTGCATTTCAAAGGACCCTGACCCCCTCCTTTTTTTACAGACACTTTTTTGCGCAACTGTGGACACTATCAATGGTGCCTTGAAATCTATGACCTCAACTTTTCAAAAGACTTTTTTCAATGTTGTTTTAACCATGTAAATAAGTGTAGATAGAGGAGTTAAACTGTATATTCTGGATAAATAAAATTATTTCGATCATGAAAGCAAAATGTTTCTTAAAAAAATACTTATTTGCCCCCCCCCCTCTTGTAATGGGCTAGCCACGTTTTATGCAGGCAATTAAAGACAGAGAAGGTCTGCAGAGATCCGAAAAGGAAAATAGAAATTGGGAGCTGCATGGATGCAGAATTTTACATGTTATATGTTCAATGTTACTTTATCTATATGTATATGTGGCCTGCTTATAGCACTGCTGTATAATATATATTTAGGTGTTTGGGTGGTTTTGGTTTTGTTTTTGGCCTAACCACAAAAAAAAGTTTAGATAATTTTAAGTTTAACCCCAAATTGTTTCAG